AGAGATGTAGTTTCATGTTTTTAGAGATTTTGTCTTCATCCTTTTTCATCGTTCACCCCTTTTTAGAGTTCAGCCCTCCGAAAACTAACTTTGAGAGGCTTTACCCCTTCTCCAAACTCTGAGCCAAGCATGTGTCAAATCTGGGTAGAAAGGTTTTTGAATTGCATTTCGGAGGCAGGCTCAGCTTTGTTGTTTTTGTGCCCCCCCCCCCCCGCTTTCAACCTCACTTGTATGTATCTTGCAAAACTGCATTCGTGTAGCCCTTCTTCTGCTGTTTATTATACCTCCAAAACATTTGAAAATAATATGACTTTTGAGAGGGTGACGCCATCGTATAATCAGCTGGAAGCGTTGGCGGCCTTCACAGTCTTCACAGGTCATCACCGGCGCAGGCCTCACACTTCCTAACACGGTCTTAATGGACAGAATGTGGTACGTAAGACATGCAATATTGTTATCAGCAGATGCACGAGACATTTGTAAACGTCTATGTCACCTTTATTTAGCGTTATGCACACACTATAATGCCAATAAAAGCGTTTATCTCATGCCTGTCAACCGTTCAATTCGCTAAATCTAAGGTGCGGCGAACAGTGCACGCGGCCGACGCCGGCGATACTTGACCTTGCCGCAAAGCCGCTGTTCTCCTGGGCAGGAGGAGGCCCTGGATTATTCCTCGGCATGTGTCGCTCCAACATCCTCCACTGACGTCTGAAGCTACAGTTCCATCTTAAAAACTGGCAATTAGCTACGCGTTTCAAGTGAGTGGGCTTCTCACAACATAAGCACAACTAACAGTAATCTACAGGTGTGCACTGGGCACAGTTCACAGCCCGTGAACAATCGAAGCCACTGGTCTCAAATGGTACGATGATTTAAAAAGTTGCGTGGCATTCTGATCACGTTGGTCGCAAAGTGCTGGGACCAGCCACGATTCTTACGACTAGTGATAAGCCTACTTAACTGGCATTTATGCTGTTTAGTGTGTGAATTAAATCTTGGCAGAAAAAAAAATCTTTGAAAATCGCTGGTCTGAGGGCATTGGAAAAACCCTGCGCCACCACTAATCTGAGACCTAAGCGCTGATGAATTTTAGCTGCAGTATACTTTTGTCACCTGCTAAAATCTAACCTCATCATAGCTTCTATGTTCCGCAAAATTTCGTGAATCAGCTTGCTTATACTGTGAAACGTCAATATTTTGGTACGTGCTCTACACAAGCTTACACTGCAAGCGTTAACGAGAACCGACCAATGCTAAGGCTTGAGTGTTGTCTGACAGGTTTGATATGTTTTAATTTGCTTCTATTTTTGCAAATTTGTTACCGAATGACTCGCAATAACCTACATTGTTGTCACTGATCGTATCTTGTGAACTAGCAGGTTTTTCACCCCTTGACAAAATGTTTTTCGTTGATCGACGAGAAATAAATCGAAACAAACCGTGCGTGGCGTTCAGAACCCACTATTTCGCGGAACGATCAGCCAGCAGGTAACCGCCCTATCAGCAGGAGCTTGACCCACGATCTAGAGCATCGCACCGGCTGGTTTATTATGGATTGTGCCGTCAGGGTGTGCGCTGGTTAAGACACACGCTCGTAGGCCTCTGGCCGTCCTTTTCTTATCTGTCTGGCTGAAATTAGCGGCCAACATTGACCCCAGCAGCTTTACGGGCTAATTATATGGAATTTGCAGGGTGGTCGTCAGTTATCAGAAGCCAACTTCTGGGCAAGTTTGGTGGCTCTCGGTCCATGCTTTCCGGGTAAAGCATAGTCAACTTTGCGCAGATTATCCGGTGCTGCTGTTACTTGGCCTATTGCACTAAACAGTTACGTTTGATTAAAACATAATACAATTCTATATCACGAACACTGCTGGGAGGTTAACAGTTTCAGAAACCACACTTAGTTTCCCTAGGTCGCGATTAGTATTGATTTCGCATGTCTTATGGACAGTCTTCACGCACGGATTTCTCCCGCACCTGCCAGTCAAGAGGGATATTTTACGTTGGGGAGACAGGCGCGAAGTCAACCGGATTCGCTTATCACCTACCTGTCGTTCACGGATACGTCGCTCCGATACTCATCGTTTGAATCGATGATCGAATTATCGATCGTTTGAACAATCTTGGTGTGATCATGGATCCTGTACTGGCCTGTGATCTGTACGTGAGCGACGCCATTAGTTGTTGTGGCACCCTTGTCGCTCTCCTAAATGGCAAACTCGTGTTGCCTGCCAGCGTTTTGACACGCGTAATTGACACGCTTGTGTCCCTTCCCCCATGCCTAGTATTGCCATGTTTATGAGAACGTGAACAGCATTGCTGTTGCCAGATTGCTAAAAGTGTTTAATTTTGCAGCGAACGTGATCCCAGGGCGACACAAAGGTGATCACATGTCGGGTGGTCCACGACGATTGGTTTGACTGGCATAGTGCCCAAACGCTATTTGGTTTCCTCGATGCCTGCTTTTTACACTAAGTATTGAAAACGGAGAGCCAGGGGCTTTACGTCTTTAGCTCTCCTACAACCATCAAACGCCGAGCGTAATACATGTCAATCCAGTCAGTCATTTATTTTCGAAGAAGAATCATGGAAAGCGAGGACATGCTGCCCAAGCTGCATATGCACGAGCGTGTTAGCGACATCATATACTTCCCCTTTCCTTTTCACAAGACACATGAATTTTCCTTTTTCTACCTACAAGACCCGTGCCCATGATATCATTTAAAGTGCCCACTTCAGGGCGCGGCATAATCAAGGGTTGAATGTATTAGCCATTCTTCTTGATTATATATACGCGACGTTTCCTCCAAACGTGGCCTGTGAATATTCGCATCCCTAGCTTATCGCCAGGCCATTGAGTTTGGCGCCAGGTCACTAAGCTTTTAGCCAGGCCACTAAGTTTGTCATCAGCCCAGTGAGTTGTCACCAGACCACTGAGCTTGTCACCAGGCCAACCGGCGGTTACCTCCGCCCCTACCCATCTCCGCCTTCCCAGTGCCAACAACAGTCCCATATCGATGGGCCAGTTGATTCAAAGCATGCGGTTCCATCATCTGATTGCGCCGGCCGCAGTAGCGAGGATAGGCGACGGTAGTTCTCGGTGCAGCACGAATGCTGCGCTCTCATTCGGTCACCTCAACGACCCGGTTGTCAAAGGCGATCACTGCGCTCCGTCGCCTGCGGATTTGCACAGCCCGGACCGCTGGGGCGAGAGCTCCGATCGGTGCGCTGGTGGTCGAGATACTGATTAATATCGCTATCCCCGCCCTTCATATTGGCATCGAGCCCCTGGCAAATTGGACGGGACTGAACCTGTGTCGGCCATCCGCCAGCCGCAATAGGACGCGCCATTTTCGGCCATGCGCGCATGCGCGGGCAGTGCGCGGGGTGTCCAGGTGGGGGAAAATGCGGTATTGGGTGAAAAGTGCAAATAGTTCACCGTGGTGTGATATCAGATACCTAGCTGAATCTAATACTACATAACAAAGACAAAATATTGTATGCCAGAACGTTGTGTTATCGGTTCCTATACTATAACTACAAAGCCATGGTCTTTGCAGATTTTCAGGATGTACTGAAGGGAACGACGGGTCTTTTATCAAGGATTTTGCCGATCACTTGTGATTTTCAGTTCACATAATGAAAAGACTCGACCGCTTCAACAACAGCCTGCTTGCTTTTAAGTATCAGTGATATTAAATTGCATGGCTCACTTTAGCCTTGATTACGCACCAGTTTGTGTGACCTGAGATGAAAAACTGACCTGGTGACCTGACTGGGTTTCGCCCAGGACATTTCGTGATGGGACGGGGTGGATTTTGAAGTTGAGCAGAGGGACAGATGGTTTTTAAAATCGCGAAAAACGGCAGCCTTAATTCACGTCATAGTGGTACACGTGACCTTCTTGTGCTAGCTTCGAAGAGGTTGTCTGCCACATGTCAGCCATTGGGCAGCTCAGATGGTAGCTAAGAATCAAGCCCTTGCCTCGGGCGGCGGCCGTGATGGCCAGTCTCTGTATATGCCATGGATGACCTGTTATGCCAGTAATGCCGGCGCTAGACCGACTTCGATGTGGCATGTTCCATTCTATAAGAGCATAAATATGATGCGTTTCTGAGCGTGTCATGAATATTTTACCGACCCGACTCCGGCCAGCCGGCCTGCAGCGGCGTTATCGATGTCATCTCGACACACCATCATCAGGCAACACATCGCAATGCAATCTAGCCCATCAGAGCCTCCTGAGACCGTTCCCGGCTGTCATGAAAACACCCGAAGCGCCTTTAAGGGGCGGCAATCCGGAGGCGGCCGGTGATGGGCGGCGGCGCCAAGTGGCCGTTTGGCCATGCATGACAATGCCGACCGTCTCGAACCGCCGCCGTAAGCAGCCGAGGTGCCCGTTCGGGCTCCCGGGCGTACCGTCGCGCGACGCCACGCGGCGAGGCCCGCCGCGTGGCGTCCTCTGGCGGGGACTGGGGCTCCAGAGCTGAGCGCGGCCCGAGCGAGGTCCACCCGCCGCACCGAACACCCGGGCGCGGCCCGAGTGCGGCCCGCCCACCGCACCAACACCCGGGCGCGGTCACTCCGAGCGGCCGGCGCCGGACCCGCTGTGGCCCGGCGAGCGTCCCGAGGGCGCCACAGGTGGCTCGCGTGCCCGGCTGGAGGGCCCCCGCCGGGCCGCGGCGGCATATCGCTGACGGGGCGCGTGTCACAGCTCGACCGCTCTCGAGAGCGCGCCCGGAAGGCGCGTGGGACGTGGCCTGCGGACGCGGGCTCGAGCATATCGTGGGGGCGTTTGGAGTTTGTGAGTTGGAGTGTCAAGTTGAGGATTTAGCTGAACTTACCGAGAGCGTTGCGAATACGTTCGGATTCAGGCGGGACGATTCCCATATTGAGCGATGTTTGCGAGCTCAGTCTCGGGCCGCGCCACATTTGGCGCTGCATCCGTGGTGACTTGGGCGTGTTTGCATCCAATGATGCACTGTCCCCTCCGGCAGGCCTGTACGGGAAGCAGAAAGCAGGTAAGCACGGATCCGGCGAAGATCTGCTAAGATCGAGTCTACCTCGATGCGGGGCAGGCCAGCCGCCATCAAATGCTGACGGACTCAATACTTGGGTTGAAAGGCAGTAGTATTAGCCTTATTCCTCGGATTAAACCAGAAAAATGGAGATATAGTTAGGTTGATATTTCGCCAACATGCCTTTTTCGAAACAATAGCAGGAGCGAATCAGCGGAAATTCTTGCTTCGAATAAAGCGTAATGCGTGATGCCTATTTGGTTGAATTCGTTTGCATGTATTCGTATGTCCGGGCATTCTTATTATTATATAGGCACTGTATCTTAGTAATGGCTGGCAATCGCTCTTTGTTTAATCCCCTGAATGTTGGTGCCCTGTAAATCCGTGGCTTGCTCTTTCAAAAAAAACCCTGAAAAATCGAGTAGGATCATCGGCAGGCAATTTTGAATTCACTTCTGCTATTGTTTCGATAAGGGCATGTTGCCGAAATCTCAACCTAACTATACCTTCATTCTCCTAGTTTTTCCGAGGAATGAGGGTGATACTACTGTCTTATCTGGGTGACTAGTGTTCCTCGCTAATGCACTGAACAACTTACGTAAAGTTGGGCTGTTATTGAGCTTGGAAATGAATTCGAGTACGCCGCTTACTACTGGTGAATGAGGAGGGGAGGGGGGGGGGGGGGGGGAGGAGATGGCATGCATTTTACGCCCTCGGGCTCAGGTAGCTCACTGTCCACGCAACATCGCAGATATAGCGCTTAATATCATAATGCACCTGATGCATCGCACGCATGCATGCATGCAAAAACCATTTAAATGGTGTGCGCATCTCCGTCCCCCGTCCATCGCCGTCCTCCGGCGTTGTCATCCCTGACACATCTATAATCTCCTCAGTTATGTGAGCGAAGGCCCACACATGCGAGACAGCCCCGGCGGTTGACCGCGGCGCGGGCTTCAGTCACCAGGACGGCGGGCACTGCTCGCACGCTTCATCGGCCCCGCCCCGCGCAGTCCGATTGAGGTCGTGCGCGCGTTCCATCTCAAGAGATACCGCAAGTTTGGCGCGGCACTGTTTTTGTTCCGCCGGCATATTGAACGGAGCCCACGGCAGCCTCGTCGGTGGAGGGAGAGGGGGCCGGCATGCAGGAGTGCGGGGACCCGCCGGTCGGCCACTGTCACTATTTGCTTTCACTTTCTAATTAGCCCACGCGCAAATGCTCCTTGCTTCAAAAGTTTGAGCTTCCTGTCGGCTCCCGCGTGTGCTTTCATAACTTTCGCGAAGGGGCAATGTTTGTTTCCACGCAAAGTGGTGGGTGACGGAGTCTTACGACTGCCCGCAGGATTATGGAGGCCTCAAAGACGATCACCAAAGTAGCTTGGCCAGCACCGCCTTTTGAATCCGTCAGGATGTTGAGTTATTATTTTAATTTCCATATGGGGCTCAGCGAGTAAGTTACGGCTACTTTCGGCGAAAGGCTTAATGAAATGGCCTCATGTTTGAGACCACGCGCGCAGTTCGAGCAAACACGAATTCCACCGTCGACCACGAAAGTCACGTTCGGGTGGTGATGGTCAGGGGTGACGCAGCAAGCACTGCTCCACATGGGCTCCGATTACAAACATCCGTCCCCCTAAAAGGTTCTGACTAACTTTAAAAAAAGGCTGCACCATGCCCGGGTAGTGTCCTTTTCCAAGTCTTAGCGTTCAAATCCGGCATATCCACTTCGTACCGTGGAAGCAACAGCTACACAGCCCTGTTTTTACATGAAGCCTTCATCGACCATTCAGAAAACTTTCAACGAAAGCAGCAGTTCGCAATCACAAAACGGTTCAGTGAATAGTGAGCGGTTTAAGTCTCTCCAAACCATATGCCTGGCTAAACCGAGTGCTGTTTCCCTACAAAAGCTTTCAAGTAGCTCCAGACAAAGCCGAAATACACACATGGTCAATTTCAGAACGGCTCTAGGGAGTTTGCGAGAAGAAAAGCTTATTCGAAACTTGGATTCGGACCACGAGCGGAAAAACTCCAGGAAACGAACTATAGACGAGTTGTGACTGGAAGCTAGCGTCGCACAACGACCTGTCAGGAAAGTTGTTTCCGCGGTTATACAACGTGTCACTCGCATCACGCGCGTTCTGCACTGAGGAGGGGTCTGCGCTGCTGGCTGGATGTGAAAGAATCGGGATTGTGAATGGTAGCTGCATACGTGAGTGTGGCAACCCGCAGACTGAGAGCAGCCGCCGTCGTTTGTTATTCATTTTGAGATATTCTTACGACTTGATCACAAAATCTAGGGACGCATGAGACAGCCATTGTGTCCAAATGCAACATATCACACGCATAAAAACATATTTTTAGCAGTATCGGTTTAGGAATTTGTGGCCCATTTATCGTATTTAGATGCATTCCGTCCTTACATGTCACCCCAATTGAAAGGCGGGAATACGAAACGCCAGGTCTCTGACAAGACCCGAACCAACGACTCGCCACGCGGTTGAAGACGCGGTTGGTGATGGTCAGGGGTGACACAGCAAGCACTGCTCCACATGGGCTCCGATTACAAACATCCGTCCCCTTAAAAGGTTCCGACTAACTTTAAAAAGGCTGCACCATGCCCGGGTAGTGTCCTTTTCCAAGTCTTAGCGTTCATATCCGGCATATCCACTTCGTACCGTGGAATTCGCCTTATTCCTCGAACTACGACGCCTCCATGCTACACTGGCCTTCGCAGTTACAGATGTTCGGCTGGCTTCCAAGCCGATTGCTCTTGATTTGATGCAATGTCACAGTATAATTAAAACCAGCTTTGCAAAAGTGTAATTGCTAGTTCTGATAGCTGAATACAGCAAATACCTTCCTTTGCCGGTTCTTTCTGGATCTGGAAATGCTCCAATTATGAGTTGACGGTGTTTAATCTGATAATGATCGACACTCAATATACCAGAATGCACTGGTGAAGCAACGTTGTCAGGTATGAAGTAAGCATAGGCTCTACTGACAAAATTTTTGCTTATGTCAAGCATTGCCTTCCTAATCGCTCAACATGGTAAAAACTGTTCTTTGGTCGTTGTTGTTTGGACATTGTTATTTGGGCATTGTTGTTTGGGCATTGCTATTGAAGACATCAAAGTTCTGAAAGGCTGTTTGTGGACTGTCGGTGGTCATATATACACCGGGGATATTATTGATGTTGATGAAATCATCTTGGAGTGCACGCGTGCGCATAACAGTCAACCTCACTCTGCTGATGTAAACATGAAATCACCCCGCCATATGGAAGTGTCATCCGGACACACTACCAACATGCTAAATATCTACAGACAGAATATCACCAGCTAAAATATGGTTCCCACAGAATAAAGATGTCATAAAATATCGGCATGCCAAATATGTGCAGAAGATCCACAGGCTAGATACCGACATCAAAAAGCATTACATCGCAAAGTATTAACAGGCTAAATATCGACAGGCTGGCAATCGTGGGACATATTTATATCCTGTTGGTCGCAGAGGTTCCGAGCAGAGTACAAAAGAGGATAATATTTGAGGCTGAACGAATGAAATGCGGTGGCAACAAGCTTGTAAGAACTGGGAGCGCACACTTTACCTATTTTGGCGCTAGTTCCTCACTTGCCTCGGCAACAAATATAATTCAAGGTAAGAATACCCAAGCTCCTAAAAATCGTTACCGCTGACCTGGTCTGGTAGGCGCGTCATTGACTTTACACACTAAAATCCAACGCCTGTGTCCTCTTTTGGTGACAATAAATCTGTTTTGTATCGGTTTTGCCCTAGCACAGTTACAGACGTAACCACTCGGAGGAGCAAGGGGAGTGGGATAGTAGGTGCTTACCATTCCACTTTGACAAACGGAAATGACGAAAAGCTTTCGGGAGGCAACGCTTACGTCCATTACTACCCATTTGTTTCCTTTTTTGCTTTCACTTCTCCAATTAACTATTTCTATGGTTGGAATGCCGCCCTCATATACTTGTAATGGCGCCTACAGGGGCCTGTATTGGCGCCTTCATAGGCACAGGATAGTGTATAGGGGACCGGAGTGGTGCCTACATAAGCCTGTAATGGTGCCTACAGAGGCACACAGTGGCGCATCCTGATGAGCAGAACGGCGCGTACAGAGGCCATAATAACGGCTCTTTAGCGGGTGTCATGCCCTAGCTAAAAAGTTGTGGAATTCTTGAACCTCACTGCCTGAATGCCAGCTGCTACCACTTTTTGGCTTTTTTTTACGCCAGAGGCAAACTCTAAGGCCATGCTAACACTTCCTGCGCACTGCACTCGGCTGAAGGCTAATTCCCTATCGAATTGGTCTGTTGAATCTGTTGTGATGAATTTTCCCTGCTTTTTTTTGGTGGGATCAGCATGCTGAAAGGGTTGTAATACATGCATTTTCAGATACTACAGCGTTTATGTGCTCATATCTGCATTTTCAGGAGCATCTATTCCGGTGTATCAAACAGCTGGAATCAACAGTTTGCGGTGTCCAGTTAGTCCGGCTGGGCGTTGGCGCACAAGAAAATCAATAACATGCAGCGCCATTTTACGTCACAGGAACATTGCACGTGACTATGGCGCACTTGACTCGGTTTTTAGTGGCCTTTTTAAGTTATGCCGTTACCCCCCCCCCCCACCCCCCCCCACCCCCCCCACCCCCGCCCTCCTCCAACGTGAGATATTCCTTACGCCCTTGTTGGCGTCAATATTTCGAATGGCGACATTTTGCCTGTTGGTATTCCATGTCTTGATATTGTGCATGCTGATGTTATGTCCGCCGATTTTTAGCGCATTAGTATGCTGCCATGTAAGTCATAAAAGGATATGAAGGAAAACGGCTTCCGAAAAAATTAGATATTGATGACAACAAAACCATACCATACAAGGCGACACAGTACGCCTAGCCGGCAAACATGACTGATACGAGACCACCGGAGACTGCTGGTGGCTTGCCTTGGTAACGCCTCTCGTACCCCGTCCAGGCCAGCTGACGCAGGAGTACGCCGTGGTCGGCCAGACAGCTGACCTGCCCTGTGACGTCACGCCACCGACGCCGGGTGACCGGCTGCGGCTGGTGCTGTGGTACCACGGCACCGGCGGCACCCCCATCTACACGTGAGTGACGGGGAGGGGTGGGGAAGGAACGGCGGTGTCACCGCCCAGCGGCGTGGAGGCGCCCTCTCCAACCGTTTGTTTGCGTGCTGTCATCGGCCGGCATGCACGGTCGGTCCGTCGGCATACACGGCCGTTCCGTCGGCAGCGTCTTTGTAGCGGTCAATCGCTTCAGTCCAGCCCACCGTTCCGCCCCGCTTCCAGAAGGCCATCGTCGCGTGGAGCGGGGCATCTGACCGGTCACCACTGCTCCTCTCCAGATACGACACGCGACGCACTGCGGGCGGCGGCGGCAGCGGCGGCTCGCACTGGGCCGACGCCGGCGTGGACCGCGCGCGCGTCGCGTTCCGCGCCGACGGCGCCCGTGCGGCACTGGTCGTCTCGGCCGTGCGGAGGAGCGACGAGCAGCTGTACCGCTGCCGTGTCGACTTCCAGCAGTCGCCCACGCGCAACTCACGGGTCAACCTCACCGTCATCGGTGAGTACCAGGGGGGGGGGGGGGGAACGGAACAGGGAAAGAGGGAAGAAGGGAAGAAGCTGGCGACGGCGGTCGATCGGCGGATGCTGAGAGGGCCCGCCAGATGGTGCAGCGGGACGACTGGTGGATATGCTTCCGGCAATGAGTGAGTCGGAACAGTCACTGTTTATTCAGCAGCGGAGCAAGGACGCGTGGGCTCGCCTGACTCAGCGGAGGAATGGAAAAAGTTATGAGAACGGGTGTCTGCGGTTAATTTCTATCAAATTCACTGCTAGAGTTCAGCAGTCGGCTGTCGCGTGACAAAAAGGGGCTTGTCTATTCCATGAGTGACCGTTTCAAGTATCGAAGGCTATCTTCTTTCTATATATGTTGCTTTTTATTCACAGATTTCAAATATATGTGCCACCAACTTTTTACAATAGACCCACAAGACTTCATGTCGATGCAAATGTACGTGTTCGCCAGCTAGTTCGGTATCTGGCAGGCGCATTTGTCCTCCCATGTAGACGACCTGTGCCTGACAGGCGTGAATTTTATGAATGGGTTCGCTGATAGCTGAACTAAACCAGTCAGTCAGTTTCACTTACTGCGAACTGCGATAGTACAACGCCCAAAGTTTGACAGGCCTCGAAGGACTTTGGCCAATGTTCTGAGCACTAGCGATGAAGGGTTTTACTAGTTCTGCCAGTGAAGGATTGCTTTCACAGGCATTCGCTTGATGTGAACAACGTTTTAAACCAACACTTTTGGCTTTAACTTTGGCAAACTAATTCTGCCTTAATTTTAACAATGTATCGTCCATATTGTGCATCACAATCACGATGAAATTCGTGAACCAATTATCAGAAGCCCACACCGAACGTCTTCAACAATGATAAGATGTGACGCAGAGTGCCTTATGATGGGCGGCAAAGCGTTGGGGGCTGGCATACCATGTCTTAGGTGCTGGCCTTCCAGAACGATGAAATACTACACAGCACCACACGAAGGAAAAAGTATGGGTAAGCATGCAATTTCACGTAAAAATATTCGTCGTAAAAAGTCAACATTTAATTTGAGTAGATAGTAAGGTATGTTGCCTCTCTACCCGCTGATGCAGTGCGTAAACGGTTAAATTAAGCCTACTTGACAACTCTAAATCAGCTGAACCCTCGTCCTACCCTGATCCCACTGATAACAACCTCGTAAACACTACCATAACCACCTGTTCTATCACCTCTCTGCGGAGAGATGGCAGCATCGAAATGAATATGGTTGCCTGAACTGAGCTTGACCCGTGGTCTTTAATATCCACAGCCCAAACCGTTGAAAAATGTGACATTTGTCTTTGGTTGCGCAGCAGGAACGAGCTGTTGTGAGTCGTCCGAAACGCATTGCATGGCCCCATTTTGCTGTACGCACACTAGCAGGGCTCCAGGATCCATGCGTCTGAAGAATTGTGCTAACGAGGACGGTTTAAAAACTGCTGGATAGGCTTTTTGACCGTTTCTTTAAGACATATTTGTACAGGAAGTTGAAGTGTGGGTTTTTCATGAGGCTCACACTGATACGCCTGCAGATTTTTTGCACGTTGGTTGACATTTTGAAGTGCACTTCTGATCCGGCGTGTACTCCCCTCACTTTCTCCCTCTCCCCTTTCTCTCTCTCTCTCTCTCTCTCTCTCTCTCTCTCTCTATCTCTCTCTCTCTCTCTCTCTCTCTCTCTCTCTCTCTCTCTCTCTCTCTCTCTCTCTCTCTCTCTCTCTCTCTCTCTCTCTCCTCTCTCTCTCTCTCTCTCTCGCTCTCTTCTCTCTCTTCTCTCTCTCTCTCTCTCTCTATCCTCTCTCTCTCTCTCTCTCTCTCTCTCTCTCTCTCTCTCTCTCTCTCTCTTCTCTCTCTCTCTCTCTCTCTCTCTCTCTCTCTCCTCTCTCTACTCTCTCTCTCTCTCTCTCGCTCTCTCTCTCTCTCTCTCCTCTCTCTCTCTCTCTCTCTCCTCTCTCTCTCTCTCTCTCTCTCTCTCTCTCTCTCTCTCTCTCTCTCTCTCTCTCTCTCTCTCTCTCTCTCTCTCTCTCTCTCTCTCTCTCTCTCTCCTCTCTCTCTCTCTCTCTCTCTCTCTCTCTCTCTCTCTCTCTCTCTCTCTCTCTCTCTCTCTCTCTCTCTCTCTCTCTCTCTCTCTCTCTCTCTCTCTCTCTCTCTCTCTCTCTCTCTCTCTCTCTCTCTCTCTCTCTCTCTCTCTCTCTCTCTCTCTCCTCTCTCTCTCTCTCTCTCTCTCTCTCTCTCTCTCTCTCTCTCTCTCTCTCTCTCTTCTCTCTCTCTCTCTCTCTCTCTCTCTCTCTCTCTCTCTCTCTCTCTCTCTCTCTCTCCTCTCTTCTCTCTCTCTCTCTCTCTCTCTCTATCTCTCTCTCGCTCTCTCTCTCTCTCTCTCTCTCTCTCTCTCTCTCTCTCTCTCTCTCTCTCTCTCTCTCTCTCTCTTCTCTCTCTCTCTCTCTTCTCCGAACGTGGATTTATCCGCGAATGCGATGACAATTGTGTGCTGCATTGACGATGGAGATGATTTACCGCCTTGCTGCGTAAAAAACCTCAGCCTGTTCGGGGATCCCCTCCATCAAAGGCACCCTTGCGTGGATGGTCATTTGTCTGAGCGATCACCAACTCGGCTGTCACTGGCAACTAATGACGCTTCAGCGCGCGTTTCCACCGCCATCTCTCCGCCGACCCGCGCTGGAAACCGACGCTCTAATGTCTCTTAGCTTCGTTTGGAAAATCCCCGCAATTCCCATGTGGAGGGTTCTCCAACTGCCTGGCCCCCGCCCCACCCACCCTCCATCAGCCATGTCAATGTTGGCGCTCGGCCAACAGCGCCGGCTGACTTCTCAACCTCCTCCGCTGAATTAGCTCCGGCGAGAGCTCCTCGCCGTTGATCGCCAGACCGGCGGCATCGCAGAGCCAAAGAGGCATTGCGTGTGACGACCACAAAAAACACATGCTCTGCAGTGGTGGCAGTCTGACCGACAGTGAGCTCCCGCCACCTGCACGCTGAAAACGCTCCTCCGTCCGTCGCCTGCGGATGTTGCCGATTGGGTGACTCGGCGCAGATCCGCGAAACAACGCCGGAAGGCCCTTTGTTTAAAGAGGGTTAGCCCCGCCCCGGCTGCCGCCACTGCTGTTTCTGCCGTCCGCCGGAGCTGCTTGCCAGGTTGGTGGCTCCGACGGCGGTGTTTGCGACGCGCCAAGTTATTTAGTTGATTGATATTTGCGACGGCTCCTTGTTCTTCAGCTCACGGTACCTCTGCGCGCTCGCCAAATGACGCCCTCGGCGACGGAAGGAGTTATTTTTTGTTCCTTGTTTGTCGGGTGTTTCAGCACGGATTGTGCCTCCTCTGAACGGTGCCGTGGAGTCTCTTGTCCGACCGTTGCACTGGGTGTGTTGCAAAAAGTACCGTGTCAGATGTGTGGGGGTCTGAAATCATAAGGTGCCTGCCAACTCTGGAAGACGGTTGAGTGAAATGTTGAATACTGTGAGACGATGAAATGCCTTCTGTCGACAAACAAGCCGCACTGTAGATTTCTATGACGGAAACGTCTGCTGATCCCCTGCTCGTATGAGCGCTGCTTGCCACTCCTCGTGGCATGCAGGCCAGAAACCATCACCAAGAGCTCCAAGAAGGCTATGAACTATGATTGAGCAGGTTCTCCGAGAGCTTAATTACTGGCATGAAATTAACTCCCGAAGTACGCACAGATTGCCGCAAAATAGATGAATGACATTTCATCATATTTTTCAATAAAGTCACTTAGCGTCATTTTTTAACCACACACATCTTATTAGCGATTTTGGGTTGGATACGTTCCAGGGGAATTTCAAATATGTTTGCAAAGACGCAAAATTTCTTAAATTGCGGTTAGTTAAATATGAGCAAGATCATGTTTTATGGACAGGCATGATACCAAATCTTTTCCTATCGAAACTTTTTAAAACTTACTACAAACATTCGGTGCCTGACGCAGAAACCAGCGAAACAAATGTTATGCCTTTGTAGAGTCTGTACAAGAGAATACAGTGCTTGCAGAGCTTACTCACAGTACTTGCAGAGCATGCTTACAGTACTTACAGAACTTAAAGGGCTCAATACCTTAACATGATCCAAGATGAATGATCCTTTAATGAAAGGAACCCCAAAGCTCCGCCTAGTTTCACACAGTACCGATATACAAAAGACTGGCGCGGAGACAATCCAACGCTCTCAAACGATTCACCTTACTGATTGCCAGGTCAAGTATTTGCCCAAAATTTCGTTTAACTAAATACATGGGGTGAAGAAATGTCTATAAAGAGTCTCATTTAATATAAGAAATCTGTTCTAAGTTGGATGCACACAGATTATCAACTACATGTCAATGCATGAAAGCCCCCATTTTTTCAAAATGTTTAGCATATACTTAGA